ACCATAGTTAGGGGAAAAGTTTAAAAATATATAGTGAACATTCCTATTAACTATTGGTAGTGTAGAACAAATAATGAGCAATGCTACTTGAATCTAATTTACTGATCTAATTATTCATAATTATTGGATTGAACCAACCAATAATTGTGCTAAATTAAGTCAACAAAGTAAATTTAAATAACATTATTGAACAATAATATTACGTGTCCTTAATTTGAGAGTCTGGGACTGCTATATTAGAAGTAGAAGTCATTCAATGTTAAGGCTGATTTGGCATATTTAGGGAGGTGTTGTCTATGAACAACCAGGTAGATATTCTTCCATTAAAAAGGGTAGATTTGTTTGTCTATGTCAATGCTGAATTAGCATGTTCTAAAAGTAGGGTTTTGCCAAATTAACAAATATTTTGCTAAAAAATATTTCCCATTCTATCATTCTTTGACAACTAATTGCCATTCTAATTTTAATCTTTTTATGTTGATTTGTTGGCAAATAGAGTTGATAATCGATTCGAGTAACTTAGGTTCGACTGTCATTGTAGGCTCGTTAGAAAACAAACCGAGCTTAAATAATTTTTTAAACTCGTTCAAAAAAACGAATTCGGAAAGTTCAGTTCGAACTCACAAAATTTGGTTTGATTATCAGTTCTATTGGCAAATACTCTTACATCTTACAAAATTATACTTTGACTCCTTTAACTATGCTTAAGGCTCATATTTTTTTCTCAACAATTACATTTTCTCACGTTTTACCTCTACTTCTAGTTATTGTTATTGATTTCACATTGTCCTAACTACATAGACTATATATTAGAGCGAAAATAAATGTGGGTCACGTTACGCTATGAACTTGGCAGTTTTTTTTTTGTCCCAAAACATTTTTGGTTCAAAAAATAACAATTGATTTTAGGATAAGATGAAGCTCCTTCCAAGTTGTTGGAGATAATGTGAGAAACTCTATAATAAAGAAGGTGAAATAAGGTTGAGATCAAAGTTTTAAGTGCAAAGTATAATTTTCTCATGTTTATTATTGGTTTTTAAAAGTTTCCAATCCCCTAATCCAGTGGAAGACATGAGTCATAAATGAAGGTATGTCCTTTAGGGCATAAAAACAAATTGAAATGAACAAAAATTTGAGAATTATTTTTTTAAAAATATTGGTTGAAATATATCAAAGCATCTTGAAACATTATGAAACAATTGTGTAAATATATCGAAACATTATGAAACACCTCGAAGTATTATAATTTTAATTCTATTACCGATTTGTTTCGGTCTCCTTGAAAACGGAAACATTTCGACTGTTTTGGTCGTTTCGAAATAAAATTTTAATCCTTGATAGAAACATAAATAAGAATTAATTAGCAACAAAAAATATTAATTTATATATCTATTATGTCGGTCTGAATCTCATTAATAAAGAATCAAGTTACAGATGTCAGTTGCAGAAAGCTCTAAAGCCTAAACATGGCTGATGCTTAAACATAAACCTGGTAGAGTTTTTGGCATCATACAAAAATTAATTTTAATAAGTTCTATACACTTACTAAATTTATTTTAATAATAATTTGTTGAATGACCCATATAATAACCACAATTTCAAAGTTGCCTGCAGTAAGACTATAAAGTAAAAATGCAAAAAAAAAAAAAA